GAGAGAGAGAGAGAGAGAGAGAGAGAGAGAGAGAGAGAGAGAGAGAGAGAGAGAGATTCTTCTTCCTCTTCTTCTAAGTCCACCATCTCTTCTTCCCCTCTCACCACCTGACTTCTCAGTATCAGCGGACTACTACAGAGAGAGAGAGAGAGTTGTGACATGAGACTTGACGACATTGGATCCAGACTCGACATTGGGATTCAGACATGTTGACAAGGGACTATTTGGGCCTGTGCTGAGCACTTGGTGTTGACAACATTCCCATCTTCCCTTCTTCTTCGTCTAACCCCACCTCCTTCGTCTGTGTATGGTTGGGGCTGGCGCAGTCTTCTTGTGTGAAGCGCCAGACCCCTTCACACCATGATGATGATGATGTATGTTCGGGGCTGCATTGCAATATTGATTGTTCGGATCATTGGTATCTAAGTCTTCCGCTGTGCTATCTTATACTTTGTATTGAAGGGTCGGTTCTTGTTCTGGTCTGCACCTATACGATATGCAACAAGAACTCTCTCTCGCTCTCTCAGTCCGGTACTAACCTGTGAAGTTGGCGCCTTGATGCAGGTACCCCGAAAATGAAGCTGGAGCTATGGCGCCACAGGTAAGTCTCCCTGGCCTCCGCCAGCCATCTCTCTCTCCAACACTACTCTACTCCTACCATTGCCCAACGCTGAAGACTACCACTACAGCTACTAGCGCCCAGCGCTGAAGACTACTGCTAGCGCTAAAGCTACTCCTGCAGCGCTCCTCCAGAGTGCTGCTGCCGAATCCTGAAGACTACTCCTGCCTTCTGCCTTCTGCCTCACGGCACGTGAAGTGCCTGGGAAGTTCCTAGGAACTATCTCGTGACTGTCTCCTAACTGCCTGCAGCCTGCAGGGCGGGCCAGTCTTATATAGTGCTGGCCCGTCCAGGAGGCTGCTCTTGCCAATGCCAAAACGTGCCAGACCCTGGTGTTGAAGTTCAAACAAGGGCTGTCTTGAAAACAGGCCAAAAATGGCCTGTGCTAAAACCCTGGTCTGGTGCCTAAGTTTCAGGGCAGGTCGATCTTATGACCGCCCAAAAATGGCCCTCCGTTTCAGGCTGAAAAGACTCAGGGCCTTCCAGGCCCTGTTTTAGGCTGAAACGACATACGGCCTGAAGGCTCTCGTTTTCAGGCTTTCAGACTGAAACGACACAGGGCCTGTAAGCCCTTGTTTTCAGGCTTTTAGGCTGAAAACGACACAGGGCCTGTAGGCCCTTGTTTTCCTTGTTTGGTCGGGCCTTACAGGCCCGTGTGGATGTGCAGTATGCCACACCATGCGTTGCCTCCATGCTTTTTTGCCTTGCTGCCTTGTGTGGTTCTTTCTAGTTTGTTGTTTACCATCTTTTCCATTCGGCCGGTCTTTTTCTTTGTTACTTTGGGAAAAGCCTTGCTAGCCTATGTCAGTAGTACATCACTGAGTTGCTTCTAAAACGCTCCTCCCCACGATAAAGAACGTTATTCCGGATGCATGTATTGGCCTGCGGTTTGAATGGTCGTATCACAGCATGCCATGGGGTTCTTGGTGAGTAGCGCTATGGGGTACATCACACACACACACACACACACACACACACACACACACACACACATGCAGACACGCACACACTCAACCCCCCACACCCCACACAACCTCCTGATGAGTCGGAGAAAGTCCGTCAAAACAGTCTGGCACAGTCATGCTTTTTTCGAGTGTATAGCGAATATGACAAAACAGTGAACACACACTCTTGAATAAAGCAAACATACGCACAGTCCACAAGCAGCAAATGTTCAAAACCTGTTCCACGACAAAACCTTTTGAAGTCCCCAAGGGTTGCTCCCCACTCTTTCTTCTTTAAGAAAGAGTGCGTTAAAGAGGAGAAGCGGGGGCGAGGAAAGGAGAAGACATACAGTGTTCTAGCATGTTCATCATACCTCGGCCAGGAAAAACTGGAAAGCCTGAGGGGGGCTTCGCTGCGCAGACTCCTCCTTGCCATTCGCCTGCTGATGTGTCGTATTCCCTGTTATGTCCTCTCGCATTCCCATTGGTGGTGTTGTATCTGTCTGTGATCTGTCAGCATTCATCTGCAAAGTCAACAACAGCCAACCTCTGTCATCTAAGATGAGAAAACTTTTTGACGATCATCGTGGGGCAGGAGGACAGGGTGTTGTGTAGTTTACTATTTTCCGTGACCGTATCTTTCCACCTTCTAGTCGAAGATACACTCATCATTTTTAACGCATTCGGTGAGTGGTACAATGAGGCCCACAGACTCATGTGTGTCATCTTCCTTTCCCCCCCAAAAAAAAAATTTGGATCACTTCTCGATCTCTGTGTGGCATCCAGAAATACACACAGGGGGGATGCTAATCTTCTATCTGCGGTTCTGCATCGTTCCAACTTTAACGGATGTCCTGTCCCGGAGGACCGTGTGTCATCTTCTTCCTATGTTGATTATCATTTCTGAAGATCTGAGTGCTTTGCTGCCGCTTACTGCATGATGAACACAACAGGCATATATATGATTTGGGACGCAGTCAGCGCACTAGTTTTTTTTTTTTTTTTTTTTTTTTACTAGTTTTTTTTTTTTTTTTTTTTTTTTTTTTTTTTAAGCGCACTAGTTTTGGCTATCCCTCTTGTTTACTGGCATTTGAAAAGTGAGGGGAATGAGGGGATGACCTCTATCCAGTGGTTATGTATATGCAGTGCACACTGCACACCAGATTATCCGCTATTCTTCAGCATGTCAAACCAGAAGTGTGTGCAGAATCGCCCAAATTTTCAATGCCAAAAAAAAAAAAAAAAAAACAGGGACAATCGCCACCATTGTTCACCTGCCCTGGTCGCCGATTGCCCAGGCAGGTTGCCTACCTTCTTCACCCTAATACAACATACGGTCATTAGAGCTGTCTCTGGGTTATCTTTCCATCCAAATACAGCAAGTAACAGCAGTAAACAATATGACCGTACGTTGTATTCGGGTGAAGATGGTAGTAGAGACGTACTAGAGATGCCCAGCTGGATGAGCCCAGTAACCTACTGTCTTCACCCGAATAGAACACCCGCTCATTACAGCTGCATTCAGGGCAACTTTCAGTCTAGATACTGCGATAACGGCAGGGCGTCCAATTCCGGTGAAGACGGTTGCTTTTGACCCTAATCTCTTCTGCTCATCCCAGTAGTCGTTTTGATGTCCTCGTGCAACGTTGTCTGTTTTAAAAACTTTTGTCTTTTACTTGGAACAACCGCTTCGAGTTCAAGTACCCTGATGTGGTCGTGATTTTCCTAGATTTATTCTCAGTTAGTGAGTGCGGTTGTTGCTCTCCATAATTGTGGTGATGTCTTTCTGCATGCACATTAATGATTAATGCCACATATTCATGAATTTCATGCACTTACAGAGTAATACGCACGCATGCACAGCAAAGGAAGAGAGCTCAGGCAATACCTGCAGACGTACACGTATTATACATATGGATAGCCATTATATTGTGGCCGCCGAACATCATTTGACAGGCCACTAGAGTGACTAACCCCTCTTCCCGCCCCCCCCCCCCCCCCTCCCCGCCCTTCCGCCCCCCTCCCCCCTCACAAAGCTATTGCTGCCAAACCTCAGCCAAAGCCATTAGGATTCCATGGGAAGGCCAGGAGGGCGCAGACATTGTAGAGGGACAAGAATCTTGAACAGGAGAGGAAGACAGAAAAAACTTGAAAAAAGAAAAGCCATGACATGACGGAGAGGCAATCATCGTGAACAGAGGACAGAACGAAAACGACGGAATTGCCAAAAGGCAGCAATTCTGAAGAGCAGCAGCCCAAAGAAAAAAGTAAAGAGGAAAACAAATTTAAACTGCAATACACTGCAGTACAAACTGACTGCGCTTTTGTTTGTTCTTTTTTTTTTTTAAGGGCGGCGGTCTTGAGAGATATCATCATTGAGTTGCCCGGGCCCAGGTAATTCAGAATTATTTTTATTTCATTGCATTCATCGACGTCCGTAAGCATTCGAACTTGGGTCGGTAATTCAACAGTTCATGGGTGTACCAACTGACTGCGCTTTAATCCTGAAGCGGCGGAGCCAAAAGAGAAAGTAAAAAAGAAAAAAGAAAAAACAATACACAGTATTACACACACTGCAAACTGACGCCGCCTTGCTGACCTGAGCTAGAACTTGCTCCAGGACCTCTGCAGCTCTGAGGTAGAAGGTTCGCTCTAACTCCACCTGCACAAAAAAAAAAAAGTCACTCCATGACAAACACACTTAAGGCTTACTCGCACTAACAGTATCTCAAATGTATCCGATCACATTCACTGCCATACGTGGATGTATCTGGCCGCAATTCTGTCCTGAAATACGTAGAAACGTCCTCGTGTGAGTATGCCCTTAAGCAGGCTAATCTAAAGAGCGGGCGTGGACGGACTACAAGGAAGAAAAGAAGTGGACCCATTCACAGCGCATCCACTTTTCCCCGTAGTCCAGCACATCCACTTTTCCCCATAGTCCGTTTTCATCACAGCCCATGCACATCCCTGTACTTGGTTCTGATCACAGCCCATGAAACTCCCACGTACTACGTAGTTCTTTCTGATTCAATTGCAGCCAGTTGACGTACGGACAATTGTCACGACCGTTTTCGCCCAAATAGGATGTCCAAATAGGTCGTTATAGCCATTTTGGGGCAACTTTCAGTCTGAATAGTTCTGATCACAGCCGATGGAACTCCCACGTAGTTCTTTCTGATTCACAATTGTAGCCAGTTGACGTATGGACAATTGTCACTGCCGTTTTCGCCCAAATAGAACGCCCAAATAGGTCGTTATAGCCATTCCGGAGCAACTTTCTGTCCGAAATTCAGCTATAATGACTGGGCATTCTATTCGGGTGAAGACCATGGGGGGGGGGGGGGGGGGGGGGGGGGGGGGGGGGGGGGGGGGGGGGGGGGGGGGGGAGGGAGGTTGGGCAGAGCAGCATCGCATGGACGCCAACAGCCAGCTGTGATTAGAAACGGTGACCCCAACTGCTCATGTCTCCACCAATGATCAATCTGCTCCAGGAGGCTCACATTTGTGCCGGCTTTGCCCGTCTGACCAAAGGACCTTGCCGCTGAGGATCTGATTTGTGCAATCAGTTTCACTTTCCTTTTTTTTGTTTTTGTTTATAAATACCCCTTCTATTCTGGGGGGCAACAGTCCGGGTACTTAGCACCGGCAAGCATGTTTGTACATCCGAAGAAAGGGAGAGAACAGACGAAGGAGAGGATCAGCTTTACCCTTGTGGTACTAGACACCTAACAAGGGGGGTACTGCTACAGGGCATCCCACCCCCCCAAACCATGGCCTTTCTCAGGGGGCTTCCCTGCTGGCCAGGAGGATTACTAACAGGCAGCACCCCAATCAGGTTCACTTTCCAAGAGAGTGCCTTTTTATTTGGGAGAGAGAGGGAGTGCACATGCAGTACAGTGCGGGAGGGTGAAGGGTGAGGCTGGCAAACCAGGGAGTGACTAAATGTCCTACCAGCCTCCAGAGTGAATGTTCTATTGCCCTCTGCAGTGTGAATAGTTTCTATCGGCACCTCCGGCACTGCACTCCACAAGTGAGGTGACCTCCCCAACGCTAGAGACCAGCGACTAAACGTCCTCCTACCTGGTCCAGCTCTCCCCTTGTAGGGTGAGTTGGGCTCTACTCCCTGTAGTCTATCTTTTGAACCATACAAAAGATTCAAGAATCGATATGGTTCAAAAGATAGACTACAGGGAGTACGGTTCAAAAGATACAAGAATCAATATTGATCTGCGGTCCATATCGATTCAAGAATCGATCTGGTTCACTGCAAACTTGAATCGATATGGGCTCTACTCCATATCGATTCAAGAATGAATCGATATGTTTCAAAGATACAAGAATCGATATTGATCTGCGGTCCAGAATAGAGTCGCGGTCCAGGAAACTGCATGGTCCGGTCCTCGCAGCATCGGTCCCGCAACCAAGGACTGGTGCTGCAGCAGTGGCAGCTCCCTCTGAACCAGGTCAGGAACCTGTAGAGGCAGACACAATCGTCTGTGTGTGAAAAGACAGCACGAATAGGCACAACGGACGTAAATAGGTGCAGACCTAATGCAAAGAAAGATCGGTCTGGCCTACTACAATGAGCATCACTTGAACAGACAGACACTTCATCAACCTTCCCCCCCCTACGATCAGGCACAGCAGGACAAGGTCTCGGAAACAAACGATCAACATAACGACAGCAAATTAACAACAAAATCAAAGTGATGCAGACACGGACATGTGGAATATGAAAAATAGAAAAACAAGAATGATGTTAAGTCCGAACTACCCTTTATGGCACGGACGTGGTCAGCAGCGAAGGTGTGGGCTTGGCCCCTCAAGAATGTATCCACAACTAGGCCCAGCGTAGCCAGGTTCGCAACAGCCATATAGACCATGTTCTGACACCACTTTTGCAGATTTTCAATACAAGTCTGACAGACGAGGGGCCAGCGGCGTAGCTCAGTTGGTAGAGCACGTGAGTGGCCTTCGGGAGCTCGTGGGTTCGAATCCTGCATCATCCATTTGACTCCCGACGGCTCCTGCGGCGCGCTTTGGGTTCACCAGCTGAGATTGTTGGCTTGCTCCCCCTGGTTGGTCTTGGCAGGGCTTCTGCATGCCTTCGCCCCTCCCATCCATCGCTAGGGGTTAGGTTCCTCTAGGGGTTGAGCCTATCCCCTCAGGGTTCCGGTCAACCCTGAGAAGACAGTCTCAACCCCAAGGGGATAGGCTAAACCACGAAGGGATAGATAGGACGGGATATCTTAGGGCGATTACCTGGGGACCATTACCCATAACTTTCAGTGTCCCATGCTATGTGCTTGGTATATAGGTTCAGCTAGACTTCGGGGTCGTGTGTGGCGGTTGGTAGGTTGGTAGGTAGCTACCGTCTTCACCCGAATAGAACGCCCGGTCATTATAGCTGTGTTTGGCCCAACTTTCAGTCCAGATGCAGCGATAAAGACCGGGCGTTCTATTCGGGTGAAGACGGTAGTGGGAGGGCTGACATAACGTTGAGAGAAGAAAATATACTAAAAATACAGCTGTCCACCCATATGAGGAGAAGGCAGCTTTTTATATATATATATATCGTCACAAATAGAACTGCCCAGTAAACCGTAGGCAGAGAGAGAGAAGAGGATATATATATCGTCACAAACAGAACTGCCCGGTAAACCATAGGCAGAGAGAGAGAAGAGGACAACAAACGAGAGGCTGTGACAAACTGTTTCGTCGGAGTTTCACCGATATATATATATCGTCAAATAGAACTGCCCGGTAAACCGTAGGCAGAGAGGGAGAAGAGGACAACAAACGAGGGGCTGTGACATATATATATCGTCACAAACAGTAAATATATATATATATACATACACACATATATAGTCAAACAGAGATGCCCGGTAAACCGTAGGCAGAGAGGGAGAAGAGACAACAAACGAGGGGCTGTGGCAAACTGTTTCGTCAGAGTTTCACCGACTCATCAGGAGGCACACATATATATATATATATAATATATATATACATTAATATATATATGGTCACACTGAGCTGCCCGGTAAACCGTAGGCAGAGAGGGAGAAGAGGACAACAAATGAGGGGCTGTGGCAAACTGTTTCATCGGAGTTTCACATATATATTGTCACATAACTACAAACTAAAAGAGCGCACTTTGTGAAACAAAGAATAAAAACAAAAAACGGGCACATTGCAAAAATAAAAACAAAAAGAAAAAGAAAAAGCAAGGGCAGATTGAAACCATTAAATTTCTCATTCTTCTTTGAAMTCCACCTCCACTGTGCCTCTCACGTGCAAGGCTCGCCACGTTGATGAAGTTGAGCACGAGCTG